TATATATATATAGGAGTCCTCACTGGACTAATAATTATGGACCGGACGCACTGACAGCATTTCTACAGGCTTTACTGGATGGGTTTTGCGTTAGTGTATCTGTGCTTGGCATGTATTTCGCACATTCAAAGTTTAAAATGTGGCAACAGGATTGAGCTGTTTGAGCACCCTGCCTCAGTCTAACTCGGAAAGTAATGAAGAAAATATAGAACTTTGGATATTGGCTAGTGATATTTTTCACCCGACGGATGCGTAACGGGTGAAGCGTCCACACGCTTACCAAAGGCTGGGTTGTCATTTTAGATATCTGTGGTTGTCTCTAAAAGGGTGGGTATACGCGTAGTAATTCGTCCTGTGCTGCTATGCGATACAGAAAATTGGTCATGCAATTCTGAAGTTAGGCGCAGAGTTTAGGGCACTCGTGATCGCTCGCTAGAACAATTGGTTGATTTCTATAGATTATGTTGGTTGGGTCTTTTGTAACGGATTTTACCAAATAGAATTTCAGGGCATAATATTTGCCGAAGTAGGTAGGGGATGGATCAAGGTCAAGGGCGATCAAAATAAGATCTGATTTAAGGGTATGGAAATCCTAACCCTGACCAGGGGACTTGCCCACATGGATCGCGTCAGGCTTTCTGAATGTTGACCTCGGTTTTCTTGTGAACGATGGTTAGAAACGCTAAGTGATATGACTGAGTGTCGTCAACAGCGGAGCTCGCGCTTCTTCTGAATCTCTTTGCAACCTTAGTCTACCAGAACTTCGTGTTTTTTCTTTCACACTGCTCTCCACTTTCCTACGTCGCTTATGCCCTTTCACCCAAATGGGCAGCCAGAACAGTGAATAGTAGATCTGTCTGTGGGGTTTGTCTATCTGTTCACCACTCGTAAAAGGCATCGGTTACCCTACAGGTAAGGATTAAGCGTGCAAATACTACAGTCGTGTGCTGCAGGTGTTCGTCATCGATCATGTATCTTAGGAAAAAGGATTCCGCCCTCCCACCGGAAGGTTTGCTGTTTGAGTTCCAACCAAACCACCACCGTAATTTACCAACAGGTAATTGGGCTGCTCTGTTCGATACCACGTCTATCCAGTTTGACCGATTGTGGTATGCCACTTTAAGTCTGGTTACCGTAAGTGAACACAAGATCCTCCGTACTCAGAACTCAACCGCTGATGTGCGACAAAAACAAAAGGGCATCAAGGTGTTCAGTGAGATTGTGACACTATTGTAGGTCCGTTTGCTGGTGCAGTTTGTGCACGTTAGGTGGTCACCCAATGTACTGGCTACTGAGCATTGAATCACAGTTTTATGGTGCCTTGAAGTCTAGTTGATCTGTTTACCATAGACAAACCGTCTGAAGTTGAACTACGCTGCTTCAGTTTGTGAGTTAGCATAAATTATCACGCTGTGATTGGGTTGGTTCTACTGTCTCTTTTTTCCCCAGCCCTTTGATTAGTATGTCATCGTTGGTAATAATGCCCAAGGTTTGGTTTTACACTCCGGAATATATTTTTTCCCCTGCTGACCGTTGTTGTCAGTTTATCATGCTGAGGTGTGTAATACGGAAACAGTTACTAGCATACTTTTTTTATTACACACGAGGGTGTGATGAACAGCGGATGGGGTGGAGCCCCATAGTCACGAAGACGTGCTGTTTAGTTATGGTAACCGGCAACCTAAGCCCCGAGACTTGGTGTGGCGAACCACATAAGGTCCCGTTAGGTTAGGTGTGGTATTGAACCGGACTACAGCAAAGCTACCTACCACCAAAGTAGGGTGGCGGTGGCAAGGCTCGAACCTCGGACCATAGCGTTTAAAGCACGCCGGTGACAGCAACTAAACCACTGCGCCACCACCACCCATACTGAGATTCAGAGTATTGCAGTGATTCATAACCAATAGGGGCAGGTCTACTGTGCCATCTAATCGAATATCTTTGTTTTCGGGTTAATTTTCAATAAATCATGATTTGTTTGTTTTACAACAACCACTTACTCATCCACAGCGTAGTGCACTTAAGGTTTTGTATTTTTACACTGTTATCTAACTGTGGCTTGCTAACTATCTTTCGTTTATCGCTACTTTTGTGATTCTCCTATAGATTTACCGTAATTAAGGTATGAAACGATCTTTTTGTGCGGGGCTGCATCTTCAGTTTTTTGCAACCTGCAGACCGTCGGGTATACTCCAAACAAACCCTTCGACCTGTATGTTCACCTCTTGCGAAATACCGTGTTGATTAGATGCAGCACCCCAAGGCCAGTGGTCCTATTTCGGGTGGACGACGATCTCCCCGTCGCAATGCGATCTACGGGCTTAGGGATGTTTTATTACCGTTATTCAGGAAAACCCCACCCCGCCGGCTATTGTCTATTATCGTTTATTCAGTGAGATTAGATCCAACTTAATTACGGCCAACCATCAGATTGTTGACTGACTTCCTAACTGCAAATATAGGTACCCCCGAGATTACATTGGTATTCTCTATTGGGTTCTCCTGTCTGAGGCGCGATGTTTGCCGTGCGATTAATTCGCCTACGGCAGGTATTCATTTGTCCAGTGATTCGAATCCATGGTTATTTGTTCCTTGGACTCAGAGGAGGGATTACAAATATCAATTGATCATGCTATGTTGGCTTACCGCGTGAGCCTCTTCTATTCCCATAACTGTTTTCACCCCTTTGCTACCTGATACGAATGCACAAATCAAATGATTGTTGACTTGGTTCAATTATCTGTGGATTTCCTTCAGGGAAATGCCTGATCAGTGGTCCTCACTCGGGCAAGTCGCTCACTGACGACTCTTCAAAGTTGTTTGAATTCATCAGTGCTCATATCCCGGCTACTGCTTGACGGGCAAGTTAAATTGGTGTTTTCGAAATCCCAGTGAGTGAGCCTAGTGAGGACAGGCAAACTTATTTGTATCAACTTTTGTCCGTTCGCCGCTCGGATATTTCAAAATCCCCTCTGATTGATACAATCTACGGGACTTTGCAGAATATGGTTGCCATAATCCAATAACAAAAGGCCGATTTTGAAAAAACGCCAATTTTCCGGATGTGTCAACAGTGCTCGTTAGAGGGAGAATGTTGATCATTTTGTCACTTAAACTTGTCGAGGTAAACAAATTAAGTAGTTCACGATGAAGATAATGAGGTATCCGACAACTGGAAGACAAAAATAAGTTGTAATGATTTGCATCTGAATCTCAAACCCATTTTGATCGTGGTACCATTGTCCGCGCTGACTTGATTATAGGTTACGGATCGCTTGGTTTGATGACCTCTGTGCTTATGTGCCCCGACGGACGTACAATCGAAGCGGAAGCCGCACACGGCACAGTCACCCGACACTATCGTGAGCATCAGAAAGGCAATCCGACTAGTACAAATCCGATTGCCAGTATATTTGCGTGGACCCGAGGTCTGGAGCATCGGGGCAAATTGGACAAAAATCAGAAGCTGGTTGAGTAAGTAAATCCCCCCCCCCAGATAGGTATGAATGAATGAAGTGAGCGACCAATCGAACATTCAAATAAATCATCATCAATGCCGGGTTTCCTATGAAGCTAAATTTCTGTTGAATACAATGTCATTCATAACTGAGTGGATGTATGCAACCTTTCGTTTCGGACTGAAACTTACTATTTATTATTGTTACACACATCTGTGTGACAAAAGACAGGTGAACCCCGTAGTCTCGAGGACCTGGTGTTCAGTGGTGGAAACCGGTAGCCTAAGCCCCAAGACCTGGAGTGGCGAACCACGTTAGGCACCCTTCGTTTTGACGTGGTGTTGGATCGGAGAACAGCAAAGCTGTCTATTACCAAAGTTGGGTGGCGGTGACGGGGTTCGAACCTCGAATCATTGGTTCTGAAGCACACCGGTGACAGCGGCTTAACCACTTTACCACCATCACCACTACTACTAAGTCCATCGCAGTTACTACGGTCATTGAGTAGCGGATAAAATGATAACCTGAACCATCCGTGATATTTGTTTATCGGTGCTGGAATGTATACTAGCCTAGTTAATGCGGGAGACGTAAACTGTGTATCTACTGATGATACTTAATTGCTAATCCTTTATCTACTCGACTTCATATCTTTCCACAGGCTTCGGTTGGTGCAATCGGAGTGACAGTGTTCGAGTGCGGGGTGATGGAATTAGAATAGCCTGCCGATCTCTGCGAAAATTTGTTATGCGTGACACGTTACTTTTGACCATAGAAAGGTCATATTCGTCAAATGTTCTTTCTGAGACGAGTATTTCTTATTCCGTGGTAAACATTGATTGCGGTAAGAGGAATAGAACCCATAAAACAATGATGTGTAAAAAAGTGGTTATTGGTGGGGAACATTTATATCACAATTAATTCTTTGGTTCCGTGTTTGAGCGCACGAAGATTGTAGGAGAATAAATGTTACAACCACTTGATCAAATTAGGTTGGGTGGTGGGAGGTTTAGCAGAAAAGGAGACAGAGTTGCCAGTTCCTGCAGATAGAAAACAGTNAGATAGAAAACAGTATAGATAGAACCGATTTTAAAAAGACAGCAAAGTTACAACATGGCTATATGGAAGAAATCGTCGTTGGACCACCGATGAGACGGATGGCATTACACAAAACACCATAGAGAAGAGACAATAAACAGACCACCCCGAATATAACTGCTGTACCCAACAACGGAGCGTATTTGAACTCTGTATAGGAACAAGCTGAGGTGGTGTGAAGAAGCATTTTGCACAAAGACAAAAACACATCTACCATTAAGCACCCAAGTGAAGCGAGGGAGATCGGGGACACTGTGTTAAGCTGTGGGAAGAGCAAAAGTATAGATTAAGAATATCATCGGAAGGAGGGGTGGGGGTACGAAAGGAACTTGGAAAGCCGAGACGGACAATAAGTGTTATCTTTAAGGAAAATAGACAGATAAGCGGTTTTAGAATTGTTGAATGTTTCATAGTTGGATAAATTCTAGGGTGTTATTCAGGTAATGGGGTTGAAATGGACAAACGGGAAAGGGG